GCTAGTTCTACATCCCATCGACGAACCCCAAGACTCATAAACCTGTGAATCCGAGACATAACACAGTGTCATATCTCGGATTCAAAGGTTCATAACAGGATTCATATCCATGACCGTACTGTATATGTCTAAGTAATATATAAATTAATTAAGGGATTCCAGGATTACATCAGTTTGGTTCCTGTATGGACGTCTGCCTGTGGGTGGGTCTGGTAAGATGGGTTAAAGTCCACAACAGCTCTCTGTGTATCCTCAGGTCAAGTCATGCAGGTTAGGTCAGGTTATGCCTAGTGATGTCATGCCAAGTTAGGTCATGCCAGGACGAGTCCAGGGTTATGCGTACGTACATAGAGAGATTAATAAGTAAATAGGAAGAGAGAGAGAGAGAGAGAGAGAGAGAGAGAGCTGTTCACACACATAATCCCCGCTAAGTCCACCGAATTACCGTAAGTCTGACGTATCTGTGTCGCATTGTGGCCGGACACATGTGACACAGCCTAACCTGTCATGACCTTATGGCTGACACGTGTGCCACAGCGTCACCTGTCATGACCTTATGACGTGACACAGCCTCACCTGTCATGACCTTATGACGTGACACAGCGTCACCTGTCATGACCTTATGACGTGACACAGCCTCACCTGTCATGACCTTATGACGTGACACAGCGTCACCTGTCATGACCTTATGACGTGACACAGCCTCACCTGTCATGACCTTATGACGTGCCACAGCGTCACCTGTCATGACCTTATGACGTGACACAGCCTCACCTGTCATGACCTTATGACGTGACACAGCGTCATGACCGTGAGGTAGAGACATTGTGGCGTGTGTTGAGGCGGGGAACTTAGAGTGAAGTAAACACGATAATATGGGTAATAAATTCCCGTGTGGAGAGAAAAAACTCTTGGTGGCATAATGAATGACAATAATGTTTGGGTCTGGTGATAATCTAAGTATTTCTTGTGAGCAGGAAATAAATAGTAAACAATATTGGTCGTGGAAATATTAATTCTTACGTAAATACCAAAAAATCATAAAAAAAAAATATATCGGAGAAAAAAAATCACGAAGACAAAGATAAAAACAAAAAATTTTCATCTCAAAAAAAAAAAAAAAATTCTTACCATAAAAAAAAATTGTATATGCAGAAGAAACCTAAATATATTTTACATTCTAATAAAAGACAAAATAAAAGAAATCCAAAACTTCCAATAGTATAAATAACTTCATGTTCCGAATATTACACTTTTTGATGACAGTTTCTGCCGGCCGAGTGTTAGTAATTTTAGACAACTTTTAAAACAATTTCTGCGTCACGTCCTGTATAGTGTTAGTTATTTCCTTTATTTAAAATATATTCCTTAGGATTTATTTTTCTTGTATTTTGTCTCATTTTATCCCTCTTCCACGCAATCCCTGTGTGTGTGTGTGTGTGTGTGTGTGTGTGTGTGTGTGTGTGTGTGTGTGTGTGTGTGTGTGTGTGTGTGTGTGTGTGTGTGTGTGTGTGTGTGTGTGTTCATCAGGTGTTTAAAAAGTGTGTCTCTCTCTCTCTCCACACACAGACACATCATCTGAACCTAACCTAACTCTAACTCTAACCTAACCTAATTACAGCTGCTGTTATTTAATGATGTGAATTGATGCTTTAATAATGTGTGAGTTTATTGGGAAGCTATGTATGTATGTATGTACGTATGTATGTACGTACGTATGTATGTATGTATGTATGTATGTATGTATGTATTTATTTTTGTATGTTTATGTATATGTTTACAGGTAGATAGATAGATACATAGATAGATAGGTAGAAGAGAGAGAGAGAGAGAGAGAGAGAGAGAGAGAGAGAGAGAGAGAGAGCACACACCTGTAGTCAACACCTGATGAACACATTACCTTGCAGCTCACGTTAATTACTCAAACTAACTTCATCAGTAAACTGTTAACTCTGACCCAGGCAATCTATTATTTAAACAGTGTAGCGTAATCTGTGTTTGTTTGTCAGTCATTAGTCCTTTGCGTCACTGTGTGTGTATGTGGGTGTGGGTGTATGTGTGTGTGTGTGGGTGTGTGTGTGTGGGGGGGGAGTGGTAGGTTCACATTGGGTCTCTTATCTGGTAATATTTATAGACGTAATGGAAGTAATAATAATAATAATAATAATAATTCCTCCTCGTTATAAAGACAATAAATATAAATAAAATAAAGTTAGTGAAATAATAATAAGGATAAGAGCCTAAAAAAAAACAGTGAATGAATCAGAAATTTCGGGCCTATAAATGGTAACAAAATATCAAAATAAATATATCAGATAAATCAAATACCAAATGTTGAGGTTTTGATTCAGTTCGGTACACATCAACACAACAGAGCGGCCAACAACACCCGTATCTAGCATTAAAACTCATTGAATCGAAAAACGCAGCGATGTTCTATACACAAAACTCATTTTTATTCGTGTTTGGAAATTAGCCATTACCATAAAACCGTGTGGCGCGCGTGTTTTAAGGGGTATATAAATAATACAATAGTTGAGAGAACAAAGAAACGTATGGGTTCAATTTTCAGTGTTGCCTGGTGCCTGTGGGAAACAAAGAGTCAGGTTAGTTTTTAGTTGGACCTGATAATCGGGATAAACGATGATGGAATGTGCATAGATAGAGAGAGAGAGAGAGAGATTCAGAGAGAGAGAGAGAGAGATTCAGAGAAAGAGAGAGAGAGACAGAGAATGTTATAGTGGTCAAAAGCAGTCTAAACGTAATAATAATAATAATAATAATAATAATAATAATAATAATAATAATAATAATCACGTAGTTTACTCAGCAGTGTGGGGACAGCGAGACAGGAAGATAACAATATTGACTGTTTCAATAATATATTCCTTCGGGCTTTGTTGCTCTTCACAAAAGATATCACCAATTTAGGCTCCACAACCCGAACTTTTCCATATATATATATATATACTGTTACGCCGTCTCTCAATTTACTTTAATATCCAGGTTCTAGGCGTAACCAAACAAAAAGAAAGTGAAGTAAATCAAAAGGGAATAAAAATAAATAAAGTAAACCTTTAAGAATTTAATTAAATTAAATATTAACACAATAAAGAGCCTCGTAGGCTGTCACAACAAATTGAGTCACCATCGAAACTTTTAAGACACAAATGATACTAAAACATCGAAACATCAAAAGAATAAAACTAAAGCATTGGATTACGTTAACACTGCATAAACATAAACACTAACACTAAAATTAACTAACGTGACACAACACTGAATTACTTAAATGTAACTAAGCAAATACTGATGGACACATGAGAGACATAAATAGGTACTCACATAAATATACCACAGTGGTGGTGACAGGAACAACACAGAAATAAAATGAAGTATAAGTAACAGGTGACGGGTGTCACTTAAAAGAGCGTGAACTGAATGACAAGGAGGACTGGACTGAACTCCGTCAGTTGGTGGACCACTATATATAGGGCCAATTCCCACCAAAAACCCGCCGGTGGGTCGTTTAACGATGCAGATGGTCGTTAGAGTGAAAGAATGCTTGTTACAATACTAAATAAAGAAATAAGATGGGCTTGAACAAATAATAACAGTTAAAACCTTAACAGCACAGGGTAAGGTGACTAGATTATATAATAGTAAATATAACACATCATTACAGGAATAATATGGAACAACATGGAAGCATGTTATAAAAAATAATAGAAAAATACGACACGGTGGTAACAATATATATATATATATATATATATATATATATATATATATATATATATATATATATATATATATATATATATATATATATATATATATATATATATATGCTGATAACCACAAGGAAAGAAGAAAACACGAAGTTCCCAAGTTATTATTCTGCCCACCATAATAGAGTCAAACAGTCAGTATTTTCAACAATGTTTTTACGTGCTTTGAGAATTTGCAGCCCGGAATTCATTGATGAGGAATATAAATATATCTATAATATTGGCTCAAACCTTAAATACCCTAGATCTTTCATAGACAAATGCCTTTTTATAGAACTGATCCCAAGCCCACCCATGACCATAAGAATCTCTTAGTATTACCATTTCACAAAAATTTCTCTCAAATTCCTTTACAACTAAAAACCTGGAACGTCAATGTGGCATTTAAAAACTCATGCACTGTTAAACAAATGTTAATCAAGAACTCCCCCAACAACACAATTGGTTGCATTTATAAGGTTCCTTGCAAGGAATGTAATATGTTTTACTTAGGCCAGACAGGTAAAGATCTTGTAACTAGACTTAAACAACATAAATATAGTGTTAGGACAGGCCAGGAATCCAATGCTCTGTTTGTTCATCTGAGGGATAACAAGCATTGCATTGACTGGGATAATGCCTCCTCAATATTACCATGTAATTCAATTGACAGTAGGAATATTATAGAATCTAGTCTCATTAAACATACCGAGGCAGTCAACATGAATTTGAGTAATGGCATGTACAAACTGGACAATTTTGTAATTAAGAAGATTTGTAACCAGGTGAGAAGGTTGGGTCACCTTACCCTCTGACCTGACTACCGACCACTGCGGTGCTTTTTTGAAGATTAGTCGGGTCATTACCTAATACCTGACCATTGTGGACCTGGTCTCACCCTCCTCTGTATATATGTACCTTGTTATGTACTTCTCCTTAGTCTGTAATCACCTCTGAAGATGTGAATTACACGAAAGCGCTTGGGAACTTCGTGTTTTCTTCTTTCCTTGTGGTTACCAGCATATACCTAGATCACGCGCACCTACAGTGATTTACTTGCATATATATATATTCTACACAACTAATATAAATTCTTCTGTTTATTTAAATATTGTGTTCTGTAATCCTATTCGTTTTGTTAATTGTTTTGACCTTTCTGTGTAGTTAAATTATGTAAGGTCGTTGTTCCAGGAATATAAATGTTAATGTTGATTTCTGTTTCTGTTTTAGTAAAGCGACAGGATGCGGAAGGACTGTGAGTATTGCACTGCCTTTATATTGAGAGAGAGAGAGAGAGAGAGAGAGAGAGAGAGAGAGAGACTGAATTATAAGCCATCTAGACATCATATTTCAACCATTTTCCGATTTTTTTTCTTTTAGGGGAGGGGTGGAGGGGAGGGGGTAGAGGATAGGTTTATTTTTCCCTCACGTCCTTCTCTCTCCCTTCACCCAATTTGTCGCCTTCAGTCCCCACCGTATTATATTTTCGATTCATAGTGCCCGTCTCTTTTTGATTGGTGCAGGCCAATGATTGCGGCCACGATTGGCAGGTACAATGATTGCAGGTACAATGATTGTGCAGGTACAACGATTGGTGCAGGTACAATGATTGGTGCAGGTACAACGATTGGTGCAGGTACAATGATTGGTGCAGGTACAACGATTGGTGCAGGTACAACGATTGGTGCAGGTACAATGATTGGTGCAGGTACAACGATTGGTGCAGGTACAATGATTGGTGCAGGTACAGGTGTGGGTACATTTATAAATAGGACAGGCATTGAAAATTATTTCAGTGATAATTTTCCTGTGTAAATCTACGGTTATCGCCACCCATATTTCACTACCAAATATATTATGAAACGAAGAGAGAGAGAGAGAGAGAGAGAGAGAGAGAGAGATCCTACTCAGTTGTCAAGATATGTCAGGCTTAATAAATGACCGCCCAAGGGCCACCTAGGCGTGAATTTGTTTAAGGTGTAGAAGCTGTCACCAACACAACAACTACACCCTGAGTTAACGAGCTATATGACCCAGTGTCAAGGAATAGTTCGAGAAGACCGGACAACTCACCAACAGCACTGGCTAACCAGTACCCCGGAACATGATCCACAAATAGATAAACACCCCGGTTCCCAATTACTGCTGGGTAGACAGAGGCAAATGGCGTAAAGAAACTTGCCCATAGTTTCACCCTGCCTGGGGATCGAACCCGGGTCCACTCGCTACTACTTCTACTACTACTACTGGTAGCCTCCAGCCTCCCCCAATAACCACACCTTCGCCGCCATTTTATTACCTTAATATTAAATATCCTAATACATAAGTAGCTATCCTAGCTGTGTTGAGTTAGTTGAGTCGCAGATCTATGCAGCATTAAGTGACTGTTGCCTCGTAGTCAATATCTGCAACTGTTGTCGGCTTTGGGGCCGAAGATCTCGTTCCCCCGAGGCAGAGCAATGCAGACCTAAGCAGAGAGAAGGACAGTCGACATCTCAACCAGGCTATAACGTAACTTCTGGGCTGCTGCTTCTGTTCAGATAACACCTCGGCCAGCCTGGCGTAGAAACATCTTGCACTTGGTCCCATCCCACCAGAAGTTGTGAGCACCAGAGTGAAGCTGCCTTGATCCACATTCAGAATTCTCTCCCCATATGCCCTGATCTTGTCGTTCTCGTTCCTCCTATGTGCAGCATCGAGAGCTAGGTTACGGTGACATGCGGCCATGGGATAAAAAATCCTGATGTCGAAGAAAGCTCGCTGTCCCCGCGTCCAGAATCCTCGAGCACTGACGTCCACACGGGCTTCGTTAGATGTGTTTGAAGTCCTGTGTTGGAAGATCTCACCATCCAATGGAAGGAGGGTCGGTTCTACCATGACATCCCGGCAGATTTCCTTCAAACCTAACCAAACCAAACCTAACCAAACCAAACCAAACCAAACCTAACCAAACCAAACCTAACCAAACCTAACCTAACCTAACCTAACCTAACCACCGACTGAGAGGCTGGTGAGTGATGAACCATATGTGTGTGTGTGTGTGTGTGTGTATGTGTATGTGTGTGTATGTGTGTGTGTGTGTGTGTGTGTGTGTGTGTACATGTGAATGTGTGTGTATGTGTGTGTGTGTATGTATGTGTATGTGTGTATAGGTTATAAGATAATGAGGAACAATAGTAAAGCTTGAGGTAAGATAAGGGAAGATGATTGTAGGAAGGTGGAGGTTATTTAAACCCATCGGGAGGTAATAAGAAACATGGGTGGCGTAGAGGTGGCTTTACTGGTACCTGACCAGAATAATTACAGAGTGCTGGCTAATCCTCACCTCCCTCCCCCTCCTCCTTCTCCCCCTCCCCCTCTCCTCCCCCATTTTATAGTGGAGGGGAGGAAGGAAAGGGAAAGACGGGTGGGAGGGGAGGAGGAGGAAAACAAGATGAAAAGGCAAAGAAGAAGAATATTCGAGAAGAAAATGAACAAGAAGAAAATGATGATAAAAAAGGAAGGAAATATATGAGTAACTCCAGAAAACATTAGCATAGAATAAATCTTATTAGAGTTATGTAAAAAAATATAAGGAGATAATATCCTTACTCCCGGGACCAGGAAATAATATCCCTACTATGGGGCTCAGGAGATAATATCCATACTACAGGGCCTAGGGGATAATATCCATGCTACAGGGCCTAGAAGATAATATCCTTACTACAGGGCCTAGGGGATAATATTCTTACTATGGGGCCCAGGAGTTAATATCCATACTACGGGGCCTAGAAGATAATATCCCTACTACAGGGCCTATGGGATAATATTCCTACTATGGGGCCCAGGAGTTAATATCCATACTACAGGGCCTAGAGGATAATATCCCTACTACAGGGCCTAGGGGATAATATTCTTACTATGGGGCCCAGGAGTTAATATCCGCACTACAGGGCCCTGGAGATAATATCCCTACTAAAGGGCCTTTTGTTCTGATAATGACCACAAACTCATATCCAGCAGAAATCGTAGGCAGGTACTGTTGAAATACCTGAACCTAACCTAACAGCCCAGGTGAAATAAGGTAGGGGAGGTAATCTTTAGGTGATTCTAACTTAGTGTGGTCAGGCAGGTAGGTGATGTAGGAGACTTGAGACATTATTAAAAGTATGGGACCACGTTAATATATTCTAGCTAATTAATAAGGGAGGGAGACACGCTCATAATTGACGCATCAATCATATCCAGTGAGGAGAGAGAGAGAGAGAGAGAGAGAGAGAGAGAGAGAGAGAGAGAGGATGAAAACTTTTAAGAAGACAAATACAGAGAAAGAAATAGTGATAAAGAAGTTATATAGAGACAACGATTGATACATAGACACAGAGAGATGGGTATAGCCTTAAGAAGGGTTACAAAATACAGTTAGTTCTCTTTAACGAGTGATAAACCAAAGATTGTTAACCTAAGTATAGTTGAAGTATTTGTAGAATAAAAAAGGGTGAATTTGTCGCCCCATAGTTCCGTAAATGGCCACTACCGATACCTGGCTCTTCACCCCCCTCAACGCTGGGCTAGAACCGCTCTTTGGGTCACTCCGGGTTCAGATTCTCGGGGTCTGCGGAACCGGTCCTGGGATCTGTTCCTTAGTGACCACACGACTGCGGACTTCTCATTAATTACTGGTTAGTAATTAATTAACTTCAGAGTTTTTATTAATTATTAGGATTTTTTTTTTACAATAAGAAAAATATAATATCATTATAATATATATTGCCATTATTCTGTACTGGGTTGAGAATTTTGGTTAATTAAGAATTTATATGGACAGCTGAAGGCACCTCAGGATGCCAAGTTCTTATCACTAGTCAGTTCCCCCTCATATGGCGGCCGCTCTAAAAGTTTGGAGACAAATGATTTAAATCTGTTCTTGTCAGGAATAATTTCGGAGGAACCAATTCCATATTAAAGTTATCGGTTCCGAGTAGCTGGTCAGATCCAGTTGGTGCTCACCCCTACAGTACTCGGCAGTAGTGGAGGTCTCAGTACAGCGACTGTGTCCAGTATAATAATATTGTGTATATAACTGTATCCCTATACATGACGTCACGTCTGTTCAGTAGACTCCATAATCGTCTCCCTCATCGTCTACTGACTGACTCTAATCCCAGGAACTTGTCACTTACTTGATCAGTTGTTGAGGAAGTTTACATATTGCTTAGGATCAATGGCGCCTGCAATATCAGCATAAGCCAAGTCAAACACGAGACTTTCACAGATTAAGCTGGGTATTGGGGTGATGGCAATGGGTCGTAGCTGATTTAAGGATTGTGGGCTGGTTGACTTGGGCACTGGTGACACATATGAGGTCTTACAGTCAGCTGGGCATCTGGCTTGACTGAGGGAAGCATTGATGATGGAGCAGAGGGGTTTAGCAAGCTCCGGGGAGAACTTCTTGAAGAGTTTCTTTGGTAAGTCAATGGGGGTGGTGGAGCGCTTTAACTTCAGTTTGTCCAGACGTTTTGCGACTTCAAATTCTTTTACTAAGTCAGTGGGAAGGGGGGCTGGTAGGTAAGCAGGGAGAGTGGTTGTGTCAAGCCGGGGGAGCGTCTGGCATATAGTTGCGAAATGGTTGTTTGATTGCTCAGCTGCGTCAACTTTAGTGAGATGACTAAGGAAGGGGAGGGGAGTGTGTCTTATTGTTTAGTCCACAGAGTTGCTTACCATGATGTTGGTCTGCTTCAGGTGTTGCAGCTTGGTTGTGTAGTGAGACTTCTTTGTAACGGCCTCGATAGGTGTGTGAGCTACACCTGATGGGAGGCATTGGTTGAGGTGGTTGGTACAGCTGTTTTGACCGTGTGTGGATAAGTTCATAGCTTGTGATAGTAGCAGCTGGTCCTGGATATCAGTGGTGTCAATTTCGTTATAATCCCCACATAATACTAACTTGGCACATGGGTACCTAACTCTGAGGTGGTTGATAAGAGTGAGTCTGGTGGGTGAACGAGGTGGATGATATGCCACACAGTATATTATAATAATAATAATAATAATAATAATGGTTGCCCCTCGTGTTCGAGGATGGTCGGCCCAAGGGCCACTGAGGAGTGAATTTGTTTAAGGTGTAGAAGCTGTCGCCAACACAACAACCACACCCTGAGTTAACGAGCTGTATGACCCAGTGTCAAGGGATAGTCCGAGAAGACCGGACAACAGCACTGGCTAACCATTACCCCGGAACACGATCCGTAAATCGATTAACACCCAGGTCCCCAATTA